TAAAATATTCCAAAGCCTTTGGTAATGAAGCATGCATAAAGAAATTATGTCCATATATGCCTTAGTGAGTAACTTTAGCTATTTAAAATAATATTCTTAAATGATAATTTGAGCAGATAGTAATTCTTTTACAGTAACCCTATGATTCTTATTTAAATAAATAAAGTAATATGTACTGCTTAAAGAAACGATAGGTAAATCAATAGGATAAACAGCCAAGAACTTGCCAATATTAGTATATATAATAATTTAATGTAAGACAAATGTAGTATCACACCTTTGTGGGGGAAAATGAATATTTAATAAGTAGTGTTGGGATAATTAGCTCATCTTTGAAAAAAAATAAAAGTTTACCTTAATCAGATAAAACTTTTGATGGTTTAAAGAGTGAAATGCTAAAAATTAGCCTCAAACAAATGAGAAGAAAATGTATTTAGTATTTATCAGATCTTAATGTTTGGAATGCCTTTTAAGGAATTAATAAATATAAAAATCAAAACAGAAAAGGGCAGTAGAATTGGTCATAAAATATAAAACTTTCTATATAAAAAAATACCATAAACAATTTTAAATGGCAAACAATATACTGGGAGCTGTTACTTGACATGGAATATGCTAGCTCAATACATAATATCTTAAACATGTAAAGAAACAAGAAGAAAAGAGCCCTAACATGGTTATAAAAGTGAGCCAAGGGCTATAACAAAGAATTCAGAAAAGGGAAAGACACAAAAGGCTATTAAGAACAATATTTTAACACATTTGTCTCTGTAATCTCAGTTTTTAGGATTTTACCTAAGAAAACAACCTGTGGTGAATCAGATAAATGTTATTAGGATTTGGATGGAGCATTATGTAGAATAGTGAAAAACTGGAAATATCCTAAATGTCCAGCAATAAAGGAATCATCACATAAATTTCAAAGATAATGTAATAAAATGGGAAAAAAACTCATAAAACTTTCAAAAATAACTTTATAAAACCAATAATTTTTAAAATAACCTTAAAGTGCTAAAAACTATGATTCCAAGGCTAGATATGTAAATAAATATAATAAAATAACAGGTAGCAGGAATATAATCAATTTTCAAAGCAACTTTTTTTTCTCAATCTTCTACAATGAGTATATGTTAACTTTACAGACAACAGCAAAGTTTCTTAAATATTGAGGAATTTTGAAAAGAAAAAGGAAAATTCATTTCTTTTGTATGCTTTACTGATTTTCAGAGAGAAAGAAGAAGAGAAATACATTTAAGAGGAGTGTATTTAAGCTTCCTGTTCCCAAAGCAACCTCAGAAAATATAGTCCCTCAAGCTTCCGTGTCTTATTCAGAAACACAGGCATTGAACATGGTCTTACATGGCCTGAATACAGTCATGGCCTTCTGCAGCTGCTTGTGGTAGGGGGCAAGGCAGCAACACCTTTCCTTTGCAGATGCTCAGTTCCCTGGTCTTCTTGCAGCCTTTTCCAGCAGGGCCAACCTCACAGAATGAGGGAGAGTCAGAGGTTATACCTAAACTTGGTTTAACATCAGACTAGGTGCTAAGGAGCTGGATAAATGCAGGCCTGGCTGACAGGGAGGCCTCTCTTTTCTGTAGAGTCTACACAAAAGAGCCTGTGCTTTGGCATCTTCCAAGCCTGGGTGCCCTCCAGGTTCCCCTTCCTCTCTGTCTCCTCCAAGTTGAGCGACAATAGCACAACTACTTAACCTTCTTGAGTCTCAGTTTCCTCAACTATAAAATAGAAATGATAATCTCTGCCTCATGGTGTTGTAAGCAGGGCTTCCAACCAGGCAGCCCTCAATGGTTCAGCTGTATTGATTGCTAAAATATTAAAAATTTTCAGTACAAGTTGGTAAATAATCACTGCCCAAGCCTCTACAGCCTCCCCCTGGCCCCTACTCACACTTCTCTATAATCTTCCAACTAAAGACACAGAGGGGACTTCAGGTCCCTGCTCCAGGCCCTGTTTGAGGGTGCCATTTGAGTCATCCATGAAGTTATCTTATTAGCTGTTAAATGTTTTGAATATCATCCCTTGTTGTGGGAATTAAATATAAACGAGGTGATTCACATCCGTGAGATTATAGACTGCAGAGATTTGGAGATTTTTTTCAAGACGCATATACTTGCAGTAACCGACCCAGGTCAAGAGGATATTTTTGCTCCTTGGGACCAAGATACCTCCCCTAAAAAGGTAAGGAAGACTTGAGGAGAGGGTGAAAGAGAAGTGAAGAGTATGACCCAAAAGCAACTCTCTTGGCCTTTAATCACTGCCTATTCCAAGTTCAAAGGATTGGGCAAGTTCAACCATTCATTAAGCTTCATTATGTAATCACCAGAAGTGACCTTCCTTAGCCTTGTCACTTTGCATATGAAGAAGATAACTAGTTTTTTTCACAATAAAAATAGTTTCTCTGAAGAGAAAGTACATGGCCTCAGAATTTAATAGATCATCTGACACTGATAAAGTTTAAGTGTTGAACTTATGGTCTATCTGGTTTCAGGGCTGGGCTGCCAACTCTTCAGAAGACAGAGGTGCTAAGAAAAAAAATCTTTAGTTTATGATTCTGGTCTTTTCTCCAGGGTATTCTGTCCATTCCTTACAAAGATGGACCTAGAATAGTCTGCTCAGAGATAGTTCATGAGAGTGATCACTAATTCTGGTAGATACCCCTCATAATGGACAATCCACACTCTTACTCTTTTCCAAAGCATTTCTTTGCCCTTTCATGAGATAATATTGAGAAACCTTCTGGATACTGATGATCTAACACAAATTTGTTAAGAAAAAATATTGTCTACATTTTCTAGAAATATGCACATTAATGATACCAAAGTGAGTACAACTTACATAGAATTACTTCTTTCTTGTTCTTGATGTAAATGCTACAAAAACATAACATGTGATATTTAACTGGCCCAGCTTCCAGAGACATTGTTATTCAGTTGGAGTGAGAATTATATTAATCTGAGTGTACTTAAATGGGATAGAATTCAGATACTTTTCTTTCACGTGCTAGGTTTCCTGTTAAAAAATGTACCTTTCTTAACACTATATGTTCTACACATTCTCGGTTATTATTAAGTCCTGGGGAAAAGAGAACAATCCAAATTCTTGTGCCCATGTCTATTCTTTTGGCACTTAATTTTGCACACCTGCTCTACCAATTTGGAAACCTGACACTCAAAAGGCTCCAGTGCCCCTAAAGACAATTTCATGAACTATTACTGTTCTTTTCCTCCAGGTAAAAGGTTCTTTTACCTTGTGAACCTCATGACCAAACTTTGGATGAAGGCAACCTGCACTTTTCACAGGTGTTCTTGTTTGTCACAAAGGACAAATTAAGTCTCCAAAAAGACTCATCTGCTAGCTTTTTCTGATGACTTCTATTTCAAGGTCTTCTCTCTCTAATTAGCCTCCCCAAATGGACTGTTTAATGCATAACTAATCTTGAACTTGCTCTTTTCTTTGACTGAAGAGAAAATTGCACTTCATTTTGTTGAGCTATGGCGCTTATGTTGCACATTTAACAACGAGTGATATTTTAGAATTCTAGATGGCAGCTGTTCAGAGTTTTCTCATTGGCACTATTAGATTGGGAATTACTAATGGTGAATATATAAGCCCTCTTTAATATGCAATCTAATTAAAAATTTTCTAAATATTTACCTTCTTAAATTCAAATTATTTTCCAAAGTATATTAGTCTAATGTGAAAAAGGAGCATTCTTTTTCGGATCCAGGGGAAAGTTGAAAGCATTTATAACCTTTATCATGTGACCAGATAAATGATTGATGACAATATAATACAGTGTGTTGATCTTAACATCTTCCTAGCTCTGTACTAACATCATTTTATCTATTTCTATTATTTTCTTTTCAACAGTAAATAAAATACTTCAAAAAAATTTAGTCTGGAAAAAAGAAAGCCATACTTTCTTTGTGTTGTTTTACCAAAGTCATTTTTTTTAAGTTTGTTTTTGTTTGTCGTTCTACTGCAAGAAGTGGAACAAAATAAATATACACAAGCTGAAATACTACAAGCAAATAGAGTTCACAAAATGATTCCTTTCAATGCTTGATGCCACACTTAAGTAGCCAACAAACAACAGTGTCTCTCCTGTCCCTACAAGCAGACAGGGTTCCCTTGAAGCAAGTAAGAATCTGTGGGCAAAGAGCCCAGCGTATTGGAAAAACTTCCTAAACTTTTCTTTCTAAGAAGTACAGCCCTTACCTTTTTAAAGGAGCCTTGAATTGAATAGAAAGTGGGAACAAAAGTTAAAAATCCTTAGGTTTGGGGGTGGGGAGATATCAACCAAGGAAATAAGAAATTGAGAAGAGTTGCAGAATCAAAGAATGAAAAATGGTATAAAACAGGTGCTCTAGGGTGGACTTCACAGAAGGAGGAGGCACTTATCAGGTGGAAGAGAAGAAGAGAAAGTCCCAGACATAAGGAAACAGAGTCGCATGAGTGCTCAAGAGTTACATACACACCACGTCGCCACCCCGCTGTACAGATCTGTCTCCAACTGAACACAACAGGAAACTAAAATGGATCTGGGGGTTGGTTTAGACTGAAGCTCTAAGACTATAGGCAGAAACTGCTCCCAGATTCCAAAATGATGCACCCCTGCAAGGCTTGTATCACACATGGTCCAAAGCCAGTCTTGCCTTTTTCAAAAGAAGGGTAGGAAATGGTTGAAATGGATGCCTACCAGGTCGCTAAAGGAAAAAATGGGCTGTGTTTGGGGAAGATATTGTATTCAAAGATGGAGATGTACCACAAGATATCCAGGGACTGTGAGAGGAAGCCAGTGATTGGTAAAAGCTTGTGTCCACATCAAGAGAAAGGTCAGTGAGAGAATACCAGCAATGGAGAGGGTTCCCAAAGAACCCAGGAAAATGTCCCAAGACAAAGTTAACTTCAAATGTCTACCATCGATTGATGCGTCAATGAAGACCTTCCCCCACTCCCTTGCCTCTCCTGCCTCCCTCTTACCTTGTTAAGGAGTTGGAGAGTAAGGCAGAGAAGAGCTGGCAGAACAATGAAGCCAGTCACATCCTCTTCACCTTCTCACGTTGGGCTCTGATAGGCCAAAGCTGGAGGAAGGGAGAAATTATAAATTTGAATAAAATTTGGAGTTATGACTGGAAATCCAGGTGATTGAATTGAGACTACTCTGCAGATTAAATATTTTAATTTTCTAACTGTGACCAGAAAAGTCAGTGGTATCTACCTCCAATTTTATCTGGGGACAGAAAAGAAACAGCTTGTGGAGTGGGTTTGCTGCAGCAGTTGTAAGAGAAAAAAAAAATTTTAATTACTTTATGTTTGTTCCTTATAAGTCCTGTTTGTTCATTGTAATGGTAACATAGAAATGCATATAAACAGTTAAACAGGTAGGTGAAAGAATAACAGCTTGAAGAATAACACTAAAAAATGAGAAAGCATTCCACAGAAGAGATGCAGAATTAGGAAAGACTGAAAATCTGTTGGAGGTACAAAGAAAAATCTGCACTGCATTTAGGAAAATATAGAAATGGAACTAAAGAGGCTCTGATAACAGTAACTGTTTCATAGTAACTATCTTTAAAAAAAAAAATTGTCTCTGGGCTGAAAGACTAACTTCCTTCTCTTGAGGAAAACAAAATAAGAACAATCTACTGATGTGGAATAAGCATTTCTCACTCAATCCTTAAATAAGAAGGGAGTGGCATTTTTGGTGGGACAACTGGTCTATGTTTTGGGGCCACGTGTACCTCCCGTGTAATGCAGGAAATCAACTTCCTAATATAAAGTAGTCATGTGTGAGTTTGGGTAACAAGTCAGTTCTCCCAGAACCTCACAACTAGAAGTGTGCTTTCCCCGGTTCCTTCAAATGCCATGCTGGCACCCTCTGCTGAAGTTTCAGCTCTAGTTGTAAGGTCACACTTGTGATTTCTTTCTCACCCTAGGCCTCTTCTGGTCCACCACTTCTTTCATTTCTCATCCCTGCCAGGGATATAGCACATGGTAGGATATGAATAAATGGGGTGATATCTAAAGCTCAGCCCTCTAGACACCTTCCTAAGCCATTTCTAAAATGCTGTCTGGCACCATGCTAGAAGTAGTGTCATGCCAACTGTGGGGATGCTCTGAAATATATGCTAGGATAAGCCACTGTTCTGGAACATGTTTTTGCCACGTATTCCAAGAAAGTACAACCCCAAGGGGGCCAGACAGCTGGGATATTCATGTCTGATGACTCGTATTTCTTCTCCTTTCTACACTCAAACACCTCCTCTCAAAAATGGAAGGGCCTTGGGCTTCCCTGGTGGCGCAGTGGTAGAGAGCCCGCCTGCCGATGCAGGGGACACGGGTTCGTGCCCCGGTCCGGGAAGATCCCACATGCTGCGGAGCGGCTGGGCCCGTGAGCCATGGCCGCTGAGCCTGCACGTAACAAATGTCAGTCCTCTCTACACTATGGCTTAAGATAAAATGCAGTGATCCAGATTCCCTAGGCTTAGGATTTGATTTATGAAAGGAACTTTGGCAAATTTAAACAACTTTTTTCCCCCTCTCAACAAAGCCTGGATTTCAACACTGTAGTCTCACTGTGAATTTTTTTAAAATATGGTTTTCCACTCACCATCAAGAAATGACTTCTCTGTTCCAAACTCCCATGACGTGATGAAGTCCATTGATTTATTAAGTACAGAGCCACATGACTTCTGGGAATGAAAAAATGTCAGTTTAATGTTTGCAAAAATATTATTCCTGTAAAAATAATAACCTAGATATATCTGCCTTTGGGGAATTGTGAGCTAAGAAAATAATTTATGCAAGTATAACCATTGCATCTAGGGCCATAGATGATAAACAGCTTAAGACCAAATATGGCTGAGTTTCTACAAATTTGGATCTCTTGCAGATGCTAGAATCATAGAAACATAGGGAATAAGACTCTGTAGAGATTATTACAGAGAAATTTGGTACAACGAGAGATGACTTCTCCTAGGAAACCAACGAGATTAGTAGTATCTATTCTTTCACAACTTGACCCCAATCTAGTACTCCAGCCATATTTCCCATTCCTCACCTGTGTCAACCTTCTCTTTCAACAAAGCCTGCCAACCCATGGGCCTTCACATCCACTGATTGCATTCCTATATTTGTGTCTTTGGTCTTACAGTCACTTCAGTCCGAATGCCCCTAAGTTAGAGCTTTAAAGAGCAAATCCATGAGGATTGAGTATCACAAGTCTTGCCTCCTCATATTTCCATCAAACGAGGGAATCTTGTGTTGCTATAAGAATGGAAGTACAATATTTAGTTAGATTTCCTAAAAAAAATTGGACAATTGTGGTATCATACTTTGAGGGAAAAAGAGATATGTCCAATTTCCATTTGCTATAGTTTGTCTATTCCTTTCAAAAGGACATCTGAGTGGGAGCCATAAAGCTGAGTCTGGCTCTGAGGAGAGGGAAAAAAATGGGAGCATAAACACTGAGCAGAAAGCGGGGAGGCCATGGTTGTTACCATAGTGATGAACATTCAGTCCGGATGGTGTTGTTGCCGGCTTGCGCTAGTGAGTGGGAGAAAAACCACCTTCCTTCTGGACTAGTGGAGCTGAGGACAGACAAATCTGAGTTGACCAATTTAACTCTCTACTTGAGAGCTTAAATTGTGTCTCTGCAGATATGGCCAATGTTTATTAAGCACCAACTAAGTGGTTGGCAATATGCTGGGTATTTTAGAGGATTTAATGTATGTAAATCCCCAAAGTTAGGGACTAACACCCCTATTTTAAATATGAAGAAAGTAAAGTTTCAAGAGGGTAAATAACTTGTTATTTAATGACCTAGCTAGTAAAAAGGCAGGGCTAAGATTTAAATCCAGGTCTTTAACTTAATTTAATCAAATTTACTTTCAACATAAACCTATTTCCACCAAGCCATAACTATGCCTATCAAATGACAAGGCAGGAAAATTGTGTCCATTTGAATAATGCAAACTTAGGAAATCCATGGTTATTCCAAGCTTTGACATTTTAGTTTTCCTTCTCTTTCAAGTTTCTCAGAAAAATAATTGATGTTAAAACATTTTTTCCTTCATTTAAAACAGAATTAGTTTTCTGATAACAAATCGATTAAGAAATGATTCAAAATGACAGCTTTCAATGTATTTTGCGTTAATGTGACAGTGTCCATGATTTACTGACTGCAAACATCATCTTATAGATAGGCAAAGGTCACTGAATTATCTCATTTGTTCTTTTTCTTCCAAAATAGGGGAATCTTTGAATTTTTAACAACAATCACTTATTACCAGTAAACATAATAAACAATATCAAGATATTAAAGGCCCTAATAGTTCTATTCCCATTCCCATCCCTAATCTAAAATAATAACTGTTGGCACTTGTCCATTTCAAACATTTATGCAGTGTAGTGATCCAGAGTGTAAATTCACACTCCAGCTTTACCACTTATTAGCTGTGTGACTAGGCAAATTAACCTTAGACCTCAATTATTTATGTGTAAAATAGGGATAATAATACTACCTAAACACATGTGAATGTTGTATGGAATAAACGAGATAATGAGATAAATTATGTTAACTGTATAGCACAGTACTTGGCACACTGTAGCACTTTATAAATGGGAGAATACATGTATGTATCTCTTTATACATTTTACAGAAATGGATCATGCTATACATATTGAACTATAATTCTCACTTAACAAAATATCTTAAGACATATATCCATCCATGTCTGTATGTAAGAAGTCACCCTAGCAAATGCTGCATAATACTTTATAAGACAATGTGCCCTCACATGGCCTTTCCTCAGTGTGTGTCCGTGGAGGGAGAGAGAGCGAGCTTTCTCATGTCTGTTTACAAGGGCACTAATCCCATATTGGAGGCCCCACCCTCATGACCTCACCTAACACTGATTACCTCTTAAAGGCCCAAATACCATCATTTTGGGGGTTAGGGCTTCAACATATAAATTTTGGGGAGATACAAACATTCAGTTCATAACACATTAACAGAGGGACAAATTTTTAAATTGTAAGTGTTGATATGCATCATCAGAGTTTCTACAATTTACACTCCTATCAAAATATGTGAGAGTTTCCATCTCTCTACATCTTATCATTAACAGTTTTTATAACTCATTTTATTATTTGATAATCTGATAAAGCACTATATCTAACTTTGGTGTGCATATATTTGATTATGCATGAGGGTAAACATTTTTTCATATATTTATTGGTGAACCATATTTCTCCATTTGGGAATTTCCAGTATATATCTATTGTTGATTTTTCTATGTTAATATTTTTCTCATTGATTTCCATGAGTTATTTATACACAAGATATTAACTCTTGTCTGTCAATACTTATCCACACCATACTTTTCCCATGGTATCCAGGCTTGACCTTTCTAATACTCATTATATTCTAAATTGTTCAATGTGATTCCTTACTTACTAAATCACAAGTTTCACAAGGTATGATCTGCACTTATCTTATTCAGTGTTTTGTTTCCAGCACCAACTACAGTGTCTGGCCCGTAGCTGGTGCTCCAAAGCTGTTGAATATATTAATGAATAAAACATATATTGCAAATATTTACCACTGTATATTGTTTTGTTTTTCTTCTAACTCTATTTCTGACATCTTGGTCACACCACTTTTAATTTTTATAATCAAATTTGTCAGGATGGGATAGGGAGGGTGGGAGTGAGGCGCAAAAAGGAGGGGATATATGTATATGTATAGCTGATTCACTTTGTTATAAAGCAGAAATTAACACACCACTATAAAGCAATTATACTCCAATAAAGATGTTTAAAAAAAATTTGTCTAATTGTTTTTATAGCTCTCAAGTTCTTACCTTGCATAGAAATGCCTTCTTCAATCCTAAGTGATTAAAATAGTCTCCTGTATTTTTTCTATTATATGTATAGTCTTAATTTTTGCAATTAACTCTTTAATCTGCCAATTATTTGCGTTGTGTGTTTGCAGTAGATATACAATTTCATTTTTCTCTAAATAAAGACCATGCTATTTATTGAATGATCTGCCTCTTTACCACCAATGTGAATTGCAATCCTTATATTCTTTACAAGATGTTATTATACCTGTATGTTTTGTTATGTGATAAGGCAAATCTCTATTTTTCTTCTTTAAAACTTTCTTTCCTAGTCTCCTTCAAGGACACAGCCAGATAACTATGTTGTCAATTTATCAAGTCTCTGTTGAGTCAAGTCAATCCCTAAAAGGTAAGCCAATGAGCAGGGCATTGGATCAGGAAAAATTATCTGTCAATCAGGCTGCCTTCATTAGTTTTCCAGTTTTAAGTCGCACAGCTCTGAAAGATCCATAATCATACCTATCTGGCCTGCTTCACAGAGTTATTATGAGAGAAAAGAGTGCAAATTAATCTTCATATTAATAGTGCTCTAAAAATTAGAAGTTCCTAAGAAGTGAAAATTATTCATATTCTCCATTATTGACAAGTATCCAACCATTTCATCTTGAGAAGACTTTACTCAAATTTATTGGAACTAGATGAATAACTTTCTGTGGTAAGTGGTGGCAAATCACTAAAAACATTTTCCTGTTTTTATTGCAAGTCGTACTCTAAACTGCCAGCGGATAAGTAATCCCACAAAATGAATCAAACACCAAAGGGGTTCCTGTCCAGTTCTGTGCTTCTCTGTTTTTGGCAAAGTGCTGTGTCTGCCACAAATCAACATAATCCTGCAGCCTTTCATTCTCTGACAGGATCCCAGAGGAGACTGGGGAAAGCCCCGTGTGCTTCTCCAGACAGGCAGTGGGATAGTTAGATGTATTCTGAGTACTATATTAGTTTCCTGAGGCTTCTGTAACAAATTACTTCAACTGGGTGGCTTAAAACAACAGAAATTTATCCTCTCACAGTTCTGGAGGCCAGAAGTCTGAAATCAACGTGTCGGCAGGGTCACACCCCCTCGGGAGGATCTAGGAGAGAATCCTCCCGTGACTCTTCCAGCCTTCGGTAGCTGTCAGCGTTCCTTGACTTGGGGTCGCATCTCTCTAGTTTCTGCCTCTGTGGTCACATTGCTTCCTCCTTGCTGTGTTTTCCATGCTGTCTCTTATAAGGATATTTGCATTAGATTTAGGGCCCACCCAGATAATCCATCTCATCTCCAGGTCTTTAATTCAATCACATATGCAAAGACCCTTGTACCACATAAGGTAACATAGCAGGTTCCAGGGATTAGGATATGGACAAATCTCTTGGGACCCCTCCCCATCCCCCGCTTCAACCCACGACAAATGCCTATGTCATAAGAGATCAGGCTCAGGATGTGCAGTGCTTTACCAACTTGAGACCCGACAGGACACAACTGACATTTGCCAAATGGAAGTTCATTCCTAAATGGTGGACATGAAGTTCTGACGTCTTTCTCTTTCTAAAATATACTTATAGCTTCTCTCACACTCAAACTTGACTCAAGTTGAATTCAAAGATATACATCTAATTATTTCCTTCCTGCTCCCACTCCAAATCTTTATGCTTTAAAAAGAAAAGAGTCAAGACAGGATCACCAAACTAACACATTTCTTGCTTCAAACAAACACGACACAATATTGGAACAAGATACAGGTCCCATCACCAGCCTTCTCATCAGGCAGTAGCTCAGGCACTTATCACAAGGCAGCTTGTATTTTTCCCCTAAGCAGTCCTTTCCCTTAATCTTTCAGGGTAAAGCTACACCAGGACTGATTTTTCACCACAGATGGCAAAAGACTAAGATTCCTTGAGATTTAAAGTGATTTCTTAACTTAGTCCTTCAATGGAAGAATCTCCTGTTCCACAGGTCCCTGCACTGATCTGAAGCCCACAACATGTAGGTGCTGTTGGTGCTGACTCACAGCTTGAAACTCAATGGCTTTTACATAATCCTTTTGGGATTTTTTATATTACTCTTCACATTCAGCCTTCAATCTCCCTAGAAAAAGCTTCAGGCTTAGGTGGTTTCAGTGGAAGGAAACCCTGGCATTCACAAAAACAAAACAAAACAAAAATGTTTTTGCATTAAACAGAATATTCCCATTCTGAAACATCTTTCTACCCAAAGGTGCCATACCCCAAACATGCAGAAATAGGACTTCAAAAGGTTATCTGGCAAGAGCTGTGAGCGTTGCCATGGAGAACTGGTAAAAATGCATTTTATTTGATCAGTTAAAATAGCTTTTTGCAAACCAGAAAAACTGTTTAGGAAACCTTTTAATTTGGAAGCTTGGCAGTGTGGCTTTAATGAGCAGATCAGGAAGAAAGATTTCTTAGGAGGTGGAGTGACTTTTCCAAGGTCCCAGCTA